CGGTTTAAGCAAATAACAAAATATTATAGGTCCTTTAACCAAATAACAAATGTTTGGCTTCAATTTAATAATATAACCGATTGTCACAAAATAACAAATGTAATAGAAAAGGAACCGTTTGATGAATCAATTTTTCATTGTTTGGCTTCTTTTAATTCTCATTTTAACCAAAGTGAATGTATAAGGTGACAATTTTAGTATTATGTAATTTTAGATATTATAGGTTCTATATAAACACTAAGGGCTTGATTGTTTATGGTTGTGAGAGTTGTACAAAGCTAAAAAAATTTCCACAGCCACAAAAATAAAAAAATTAGCTTCGGAAAATTTTCTCACAGTTTTTAGTTCCCACGTAGATTATTCTCAAATGGTTGGTGACTTTTTTTTCTGAAAATAAAATATTCTCCTTCCCCAAGTTAGCTTTGGAAAATTATGTTAACATTTTTTCTTCATAGATTAACGTGTATATATGTTGCTATATATATAACGTTATTTGTTGATTATACATATATATATATATAATCATACCAATTTTATCAGTTTTTTACGTTGTACAATATATATATATATCATTTAAAGTTCTAAAAATATATTTACATCATATAGAAATATTTACATATAATTTTAACTTTTAAAATTTATAATATAATCTTACAGGTACAACCGAACCAATCATACTTTTATTTTTAAAAAGCCACGACCAAAATCCTGCAGTTACAGCAAAAAAATTTACAACAAAAATTTTGCAGCCGAAAATCTAAAGCTAGAGCCATTACCAATCGACCCCTAAATCTCTACTAAACCTCTAGCTACCCTAACAATTTTTGAACATAGATTGAGAGTTTTAGACAAAACCATCAAAATCGGCAACAATTTGAGCATGTCATAGTCGATGTAATATTGTTCTAGATAAACCCACCATTTTTATCACCCAGTGATCAGTAGTCCACTATTTTTGTTTTTTACTAACATTTCATTTCATATGATTTTGACTCTTGTTAGGTTTTCTAAATTCCCTCTTCCTTAGGTTGCGGTAAATTGGTTTTTTAAAAGAGAGAGATTACGGTAGATTTAGTAAATATTTATCCATATTTAATAAAAAATAAATTAGTTAAAGGAAAAATTAGGAAAATCCTTTTTCGTGTCTGTT